CTTAACCAACTGAGCCACCCAGGCGCCCTAAAGTGTATCTTGAACATGCATTTCTCTTTAAGTACCCTTCTCCCATCTTTACCTACTACTTTGGAATTTCTTTTACTACTATTAAATATAAGTATCTCTTCTCTAGTGTGTGAAGAGCAGTGTTCATTCTTTTAAACATGTCATATTTAAACACTTCTTTTAAATGAGAAACATAAGGATCATATCTTGTTTCCAGTCCTATTTGCCATTTTTTCATAGAGTAGATGTGAATAATAATTATTTTTAATTGTGACGACTCTCATCTAAAATGCAACTGGTTTATCTTATCAGCTCTTCTACTAAAATTATGATCTAGTGTGCATTTGTTTAACCTCAGAAAAAAAACAAGATTGATGGAAGGTACTTACATTTGCACAAGAAGTTTGCCAATGAAACTTCAACATTTTGCAAGATTCATCAATAAGTCATATTAAACCATTAAGCCATAACTTGTCTTAAAATATTTTGGAAGAATAGAGAATTGAAATAATAAAAAATCCTACCAATAATCGATATTTTAAAAACATTATCTATCTATCTATTTATCTATCTATCTACCTACCTATCATCTATCTATCCATCTAGCATCTATTTATCTATCGTCTATCTATCTACCTATCTATCTATATCTATCTATCTATCTATCATCTATCATCTGTCTATCAATCATCTACTATCATAGTTTAGTGTGTTCCTTGCTTGGCTTAGTGACAATACCTTGTAAGCATCCAAGAATAAATATCTAATGCCAAGATTTTTTAAGAATAGAAAGGTTGAGAAACCACTGGGACAGAAACAGTAATGTTCAAATTTTCCAAGTGTTTTGTTACAAATTGGAGATGAGGGAATTGGAAAATATTTTTGAGGAACTCTCCTGTAAACCTGTAGGTGACAGAAAGATCAGTCTGTACTTTGTTAGTAAAGTGAAAGATAATTTTCACTCCATATTTAGGAGTGAATTTTAAATGACGTGGGATATTTAACAAGATCCATTAACACTATTTCTGAAATAAAATTGTTAGTTTTATTAAATATTAAATTTTCATTGCTTGATGATTTCTTAAGAATCTAATAACCTAAAAGTAAAGTTAAAGAAATGAAAATCTCTTCTCTTTTATTCCATTGTTTAAGAGTATACTGTGTGACCTCTTGATTTCTAGGGAACATAAACATAAGTTGTCCCACTACATTCTCAAGAGCTATTTGAGGAAAGATTTTTTTTTTGAAATTATTGGAATTTTTTTAAAAGATTTTTATTTATTTATTTGAGAGAGAGAGAGAGAGAGCACACAAGCAGGGGGAGCGACAGGCAGAGGGAGAAGCAGGCTCCCCACTGAGCAAGGAGCCTGATGCAAGACTTGATCCCAGGACCGTGGGATCATGACCTCAGCTGAAGGCAGATGCTTAACCGACTGAGCCACCCAGGCGTCCCTGAGGAAAGATTTTTCTTATATTTTGATAAAGAAACAGAGGCACAAAAACTCACTTAAAATTAATGCAGAAATCATTTTCTGTGATGGTTATCTTCATGTCTTTATGGTAATAGTAATAACTGCCTCCCTTGTAGAGGCCATTACTGATTCTAATTTGCAACAAAATTATTTTTGTAAATCACCAAAGTTGGTGTCATATCTTTCATGTTAATATCGCCCAGATCTTTGCTTTAAAATGACACTAATTACCTGGAAGTTTCTGTAAGGTAAAATATAAGTGTAATATCCTTGCCATTGATTTTTTTGTTCTTCAAGGGAAAACCAAGCATTGAAGAGGTCATGAATTGTAAGTCATGTGACAAAAAGAAATTTTGAATCCTCTTATTGAGTGAAAAGAGGGATCTTCTCTAATCTAAAATTCCAGATATATGTGCATGTCATGAGATAAGTGTTTCCTATTTCTAGTAGCCATAGTCCTGGAAAGTAAGCCTGGAAAAGCAGAGTCGGAACTGGGAACACTGCCCTCACAACTTGTCTGAGGGATACTCTTGTGTTCTGTTTTGCCTGTGGAAGCTGTTGGCAAGAATGAGGAATTCTGGGATTGGGAAAGGTTGGTGCCTGTCTATAGTTGCAACTCAGTTGGAAGGAGTGGGTGTCCGTGCTGACCTTCTGAGGGGTGTGTTCTCCTTCCCCTTGCTTACCTCTTAGTTCAGTGACTATGGGATTGCCAGTCATAGGTAGTCACTGAATATTGCAAGTTATTGTTCCCTATAAATAGCTATGTCTTTAGTATCTTGCCCCATTTATGTCATGGGTGAATTTTGTTTGGAGTGCAAAATAGCTCAGTGATTTATTAATTTTCTTTTCCTGAGGGATGCCATGCTTTACTTTAGATTAGCTCATATTGCCAAAGTATAGTTGTTGTTGTTGTTGTTTTAAAGCACTTTAGCTTGTTTTTTTTTTAAAGAGGTGTTATTTGGTTTGTTAAAAATATAGATATAGTTAATTATCTTATAGAATATATGTCTTTTTTTTTTTTCAGTGTTTAATCAATCATCCTCTTTGGCTTTGATGAAACTTTCAATTTGGAAGCTAGTAGAGCTTGTCATCATTCTTCAGAACCAGCAAATGGTTGATTTGAGGCAAGAAGAACATAGTTTAAAAAAGAAAATAAATCTGGCATTTGCTTAATAATTTGCCCTTTGCAGCAACGGAATCTTATCTGACCACCCACATTCATCTGGCTGCTGACGAGGCTCTTGCTTCAATTGCAGAAGCTATTTTCGTACCTTTTGTGTCTTTTGAGGAACCAAGTAGGCCTCCTTGCTTGTAATGATTCACGTCTCAAAGTGCACAGGGCGTCCTAAAGTGCTACTGTGTCGGTGTGGAATTGGAGTGGGGGTTAAAGCAAACTACTTCCTTCGAGCACTTTGAATGCTCACATCAGGTGGTACTGGATTAAGGCCCATTTTGCCATGTCTAGAATCATTAGTCCTTCCTGTGAGACACTAACTTGTCTGGAAGGAAAGGCAATATTTAAAAAAAAAAAAAAATGAACAAATATACAATAACCACCTAAGGGTAATGTAACAATATTTTTATATGGGCCTTTTTGTACTGGGAGATAAACCGTCTAAAGATGGTTGATTGATGAATCTATTTGGATTAAGTCGGACTTTCCATGCCTGTCTTTGGATTAGAGTTGGGTAAATATTAATTCTAAGTATGAGAAAGTCCCTTTCTTTATTTCTTGTTAAGTCTCAGTATTTTAGTTTGGTTGGTTTTGGCTTCCTATTTCAGAAATTAATTTTAGCACAAAACATAACATTGCTGAAGTAAACTATAGAAAAGAATTCACTACGAGGTTATCTGAGACTTCATCCTATGGAGTTTAGTTGCTGATGCACCGTAAGAAGTTTGATGAGACTCTCCACTTTAAGGCAGGACTGTGTCATGCGCTGCCCTGGCATAATTTCTAGTTCCAATACGTTAAGTTATAACCCTACCATTATTTTCCTCATTGCCTCCCCTTTTGCTGGTATAGGCAATTCTTTTTTGAATACAAGTACTTGTTCAAAAGATTGAAACTGTGTTAAAAGAGAGGAAATTTTTTTCTTTGAAAAAAAAAAATGTCTTCTTGAGAGATCCGCTTCCAAATTTTCTTTCCTCAAGGAAAGCAGTTTCTGTGAATGAAGAATAAGGATGCCTCTTCAATTGACTACAAGTGCCATCGTTTAAAAAATCTTCTTGTTCATTTTCTAGATTCCCCGAAGTTGTGCATGAGTTCCTGTGGGAAGAGTCGGCATCGTGGAAAGCATCGATGATTGTGATGCCGTTTTTTGAAATGTGGATAACAGGTTGATAACTAAAATTTATCACTTTATTCTAATTGTTTTTACATTTAACTTGAAAAGCAGTTTTGGCCTATCATGTACCCATATGTAAACCAACTTTGTCATTAAATCTGGGAGGAAACAATGTATATGCCCTCTAGAGAGACAAGGGTTGTGAAGGTTTTGTTTTGTTTTGCAAACCAGTTTTAATTATAATTCCCTTAATTGAGATAACCTCATTTAAGAGAATTTCTTTCCTTTCTGGCAAAGTTTATTGTCATGTAAAATTCTACTTAGTGTATCCCAATTATTTTGGTTATACAATGGGTGAAACAAAATCACAATTGTAAAAAAAAAAAATGCAAAAAACTTTTAGAATAAAATATTGAAAGTAGTAGGCTACAGTCAAAATAAGTCATAAATACCTTGACTAAATATGCAAACTATACAAACATCTGCAATCATGTCCTCAGTGTAGCCAGTGTGGAAAAATATATAGTTTAGTTTTCCATTAGGTTTTAAATATCAAATTGGATTTTAACGTATGTCAAATTAGAGGGTAATCATCAAAATATTTTTACTTTTCTCCAAAAGGTCCCTCAATCGCTTGGCAAGGTTTTACATAAGATACAGTATCCTCCTCGTATTGGCAACTTGCTTATTTTAGGGAGAACTAAGGTTGTTATGGGGATTTTTACTAATAAAAGAAGCATTTAAAATGAATTTGGCTCTCAGCAAGGTGCCTTTTTTTAATCATCCTGTGGAAATAAGTCTGTATTCAGCTGGACTCTGGCAGTGGTCACAGTTTTTTTGTAGATCCTTTTCCCCCTTATCCAGTCCTCCTATGTGGTAGTGATTTGTGAAACCATCATTGTGCCCTGAGATGCTCATGTATTTCTTAAAATATTTGGTAATTGATCTCTGGCATTTTAAAAGCAAATATATGGAAACGACCTCTAAGGTTTTATTCAGTAATTGCAATTTTAAGATGTGCATATTTGTTTACAAATATAATATCCCCCCAATTCTCAAAAAAAGGTCCAATAACCACTTTGGTTTTTAAAAATGGCTTATTATTAAAATTTTGGAAGTAGAGAGGTGGTGTTTGTTGCCAGTCATTTTATACCATTATTATTTAGGATGTTATTATTTGATGCGCACTTGACTTTTGCCACCACTCAAGTAATGATTAATTTCCTGAGGTAAAGCTTTTTTCTAAAATAGTGTTTTTCTAAGCAAAAGATCCCAGATTGACAACCCTGGATACTGTAAGCCTTTATTCATCTGCATAGCAAGCCTGCCTTCCTGCCAATCCCACCCAGCTGTTATCCTGAAGAGACCTCTGTTGAGGTCTATATGAGAGGCTGTTTCGGTGCCTTTCCTTTCAAGGCCTGTCTGAGGAAATTAATTAGCTGGGTGCCAAATTTATTCGAGTGGGACTGTGAAAAGTGGCCAAGGGAGAGGGCACACTTTTAGAAAAATGGCAACTCTTCCATGTAATAGCCACGCAGAGGATAATATCTTTTTCAACACTGTCCCCCTCTGAAAAATGTGCTTAAGCTGCCAGGCAGTGCCTGTCTTTACTGCCTAAAGGGCTCCTACTGGCTGGGGCACCAACCACAGGAAACCCCAGAGTCGTGTCCTCCAACGAAATATCTCACTCCTTTCGTAGCACTCAAAGACATTGGGAAAATTTTAAATGTGAATGCGAAATTGTGTTTGGAATATCTCTCCTTTGGTGGCAATGGGTGCCAAAAATGACTCTGCGTGGGTTTGGTTACCATAAAAAGAAATCTCACAGAATGAAATAACTGGCTGGTTTGTTTTTTTTTTTTATATGAGGATTGCTCTAATATTACATTTTTTAAACATATCAATTGATTGGGAAAACTGAAAATTTACTTTTAACTTTTAACATACATTTATTCGGAATATGAAAAATGAGATGTATCTCTGCGATAGAGAAGTAATATAGCTATAATTAACCACATTTCTGTGGGTTTTATAGCACCAAGTAGATCTCTATTGAGAAAATGCAACTAAAGCTGCAGGTATATAGAAGGGTACATTTGATGGGTTGTAATAATATTATGAGGTCCAAAGAAACTATTTCCCTATTAATAAGCATTTTCGTACATTTAAACAATAAAACACAAGCTCAGGAATTTACCATTGTTGGTAGTTAGATTGCTCAGTAAAAGTATCACCTAACAAGAAAAGACGAATGTCATCATCACATCTTCGATTCAACTTTGAAAGCCTTGAGATTTTAAAAGTGAATTATTTCCCTTATTGGAAGTTGAGGAGAGCAGCAAAGAGACTTTAGAACACTCCCAAATCCTGTTTAGTTTTAAAAAGACAAACACGCTATGCCCAATAATAGATCTACGCTACACACAATTTACATGGCAGATTTTTTCCCATTTCCAAGATAAAACAACTGTACACAAGAGATTAATGAAAAGAGTCCACATTTTTAATGGTTTAAGAATATGATCAGTATATTCCTCTAAGGACCCATCACTCATGTTTTTTCCCTTCTATTTGTCTCCATATACCTCAGAAACTGCAAGAAGGAAAGTGATTTTATGGATAGCAGTTATTTGAAGCCTCTCCGAGGCTGGTGTTGAAGAGAAATACTATATTCTCAACTATGTTTAAAATCTAATGTAAAAGGTGCATGTGAAATAGGGATGGTTTCCAATTCTCTCTTGATATTCTTAAGCTTTTCACTGAAGTGAAAAGTTAGACACTGAGATTCAGAGGAGGGTAGACCAGAGGGATCCCCAGTCCTGCTGAGACCTCTAGCTCAGACAGACAGAATGTATGAACTCCTGTATGACCTGGAGTAGGGAGCATGTTTCAAGTGATCATCCAGTTTCATGATAAAATGGTAGGACATCTTAGGCAGGCTTGTCTTTAGAAATTTAAAAGGAAGAGGTTTCCCTGACAGAAGCTATTTGCATAATTGAGTCAATGTATTTTTTGACTGGGATCAAAGTTTTGAATTTTAAAATTTTCTGGATAATAAATGCTGTTGGAATATAGGATGGCCCTAGTGAATATCAGCAAAATTGATTTTTTAAATAAAACAGTAGATTTTACTTTTTCTGATTAGGCTCTTTTCCTAAAATTTAAATCCCACAATTAAGTAAACGTTCTAGGTAATTTTTGTTCTGACCATGAAATATCGGCTTTTGAATCTTCTGTATGTCACTTTTCTTCATCTTGTGGTTCATTCTTTAATAGCAAAATAGTATTGCCTTTGTGTGAATTTAATTTGTGCATCTCTTTTTTACAATATGTTCTTAATGAATAAAAATTCTATATGTATTGTTTAGGGTGTAATGGTTTTAATTTACTACTGTATACCACAGAAATTAAATCTGTCTGATTTATAAAGATATTACCTCATTGCTAAATGAAAACATTATATTCTATTTAATTACTAAATATATTATTCCAATCCTGTTTTTCATAAAGTTTTATGTAATTGTTTAATTTGAAGTCAGTATTGTAAGCAAAATTATATATCTGGGTAAACCAATGAATGGGAAGTGACCATACGCCTAATTTTCACTTGTGAGCTGCTTCTTCCTTTCCTTAGAAAGAAATGCTTTTCAAAGAACAAAATAAAACAATTGTTTGTCATGATAATTTGTCATGTTCTCACGAGACGCTGTCCTCATAATACTGTTCTTAAATACTTTATATTTTTACAATGTATAAATACCTTATATTTATATAATATACAGATTTTGAACATTATTTAAATTATGGATTTGTGTGATTTCTAGGAAGTGGCATTTTGAGGCCACTTTCTATAGTACAACCATGCAAAACTCATATATTCTCCCAGGACCATGAAAAATTTGAGCACTGGAAATACTGACGTCCAAGGGACAATATTTAGGAGAAAGTGTTATTGAAGATGTATTATTTTAAGTTATGATAAAACTTACTAGCAGAGGTGGATGGGGGAGGTGAGACCTTGTAGGCTTGGAGGTGAGCCAAACCTGGGTTTGATTTTGGTTCTGACAGTCACCCTCCCTAAGGATCATCCTCCACTGTCCAATAGGTGTAATAACACTTACAGGGTCGTCATGAAGAGCCAATAAGATAACGCATATGAAGCTCTGTACTGGTATCTGACATATGGTAAATGCGCAATAAACAACAAACATTATCATTGTTATTACTAGCGATGGATCTGCATACACAGGTCAATATCATGTAAAATATTACATGTGAAAAGTAACTTAGAAATTATTCAGTTCAAGCTCTGACTGCTAGTTAAGGAAAGGCTCACAAATGTTCCTGTCGAATTGAAAATACACTGTACCTCCATCTTAGAGGGGGCTATTCACCAGTAAAAGTCTAACAGTGGTTGTATCTACATAAACCTTAAATATTTAGTTCATTAGAGAAAAAACTCAGTCAATTTGGGTTTGACATTGCATATTCTTGTTAGCATAGTTACTCTAACTGACTGAAGTAAATTTGCATTGCAGTATTATAAGGCCATTACTTCTTTCAGTTTTTGTCTTATTACCTATAAAGGGATGCAGAGGAAGATCACTGTGGGGGAAAAATTCAGTCCTATAGTAAAACCTCCCAGCAAACCAAAGTTGATATGCTTGTTGTTTAGTTTTTCCAGCTACCGCTTTACAAATCTCTGGCTCTTAGCAGAAGGATTTTGATTACAGATGTCTTGCTACAAATATCTGGGGGCTACTGATTTCTCACCCAAAGACTCATTGTTTCTCCGGCTCAGGTCATGATCTCGGGGTTGTGAGATCCAGCCCAGAGTTGGGCTCCACTCAGCAGGGAGTCTGCTTGAGATTCTTTCCCTCTGCCCCTCCCTCCGCTACCCACCTCCCGCTTGTGCTCTCTCTCTCTCCCTAAAAAAAAAAAAAACAAAAGAAAAATAAACAAAAAGAAAAATTACCAAAAATCATAAAGTAAAAAGTAGAAATTTCTTTCCTGCCCCTTCTTCTGACTCCCTGATTCTACTTCTGCAATTTAACTAGAGTTAAAAGCTGTTTGGCACCCCTGTAGAAATTTTCTGTTTATCACATGTTTCTCTTATACACAAATAGGATTATCAAATGCATCCTAAGGGGCAATGAGTTTTTTTTTTTTTTTAACATTCAATGTTACTATCTTCTGGATGAGTTCCTATATGGGTACTTATTGCTGTACTTTATTTTTTTAAATGGCTGAGTTTATGACGGAGCCATATTTTATTTAAGCTGTCCTTGTATGCGTATCTTTGTGCACTTGTGCAGGTACATTTGTAAGAATAAATTTCCAGAAATGGAATTTCTGGGTCAAAGGTATGTGCTTTCTTACTTTGATAAACACTGCCACATTGCCTATCAGGGAAACATCTCAATTTTCATCATAATTGATAGAGTTGAGCACTGAAGTTCTTAGAATCCTCTGGGTATGACAGCGGCCATTCACTTATGGAAGATGAGTATACACTTAAAATCTAACTGTTTCTAAGTTGTCAATTTTCCCCGAGCCATTCACAGCCATTTGCAGAACTCCTTGATTTGTTGTGATGTAAATTTAAATGTGCAAACCTATAGGTTCAATAAAAAAACCCCACTATTCTCCACTTTTTAATATTTAAGGAATTGGGGGGGGCACCTGGGTGGCTCAGATGGTTGGGCATCTGCCTTCGGCGCAGGTCGTGATCCCAGGATCCTGGGATCGAGTCCCACATTGGGCTCCCGGCTTGGCGGGGAGCCTGCCTCTCCCTCTGACCCTCTCCCCTCTCATGCTGTTTCTCTCTCGTTCGCTCTCTAAAAAATAAATAAAATCTTAAAAAAAAAAAAGGAATTAGGGGTGCCTTGGTGGCTCAGTCAGTTAAGTGTCTGACTTCGGCTCAGGTCATGATCTCAAAATCCTGGGATCGAGCCCCTTATGGGGCTCCCTGCTCAGTGGGGAGTCTGCTTGTCCCTCTCCCTCTGCCTCTCCCCCCACCCTTGCTCTCTGTCTCGCAAATAAATAAATAAATAAATAAAACATTTTAAAATATTTAAGGAATTGGAACCAGGCTAATTGTGTCAAAAAACTAAGATGTTTTGATATAATAATCTTATATATTAGAAAATACTACTCTAAATTTTTAATAATTTTTTCTCTCTCAGTTGTTTTTGGACACAATGTCAATATAAAGCTTACTGCTTTAGTGTAGTGTATTCAGAACAGTCACTGGTTAATCTTTTTTTCTTTAGGGCACATTACATTGTTAACCCTATTATGTACATGAACGTTAAACTGACGTTTATATACAGCAGTGTTGTGGTTTCATGGAACAATTTTTCCTAACTGTGTTTATTTCCTACCCAGGAAGCGTCAAGACAATCATGTCCATGAGAATGCTAAACCATTCAGGTAATCATTACATTTTTAAACTGTCCCCAAAATATGTTTCATTTTTCATATTATGAAGGTTTTATAATCGTTTATTTGGATGTACTTTCCTGCCTTTTCCAAAGTTCTGGGACAATCTTAATTCTTACAGCCTTAGTCTAGCTCTTCTAATCACCGGTTTTAATCTATAAAATATATCTGTATTGTGTGTTAATATAAATATAGGTATATGTAAAATATATTTTAAGTAATATATTTTACATATATTTATTTTATTTTACATATAAAATATATTTGTACATATATTAATCTATAAAACATGTCCATATAGAGAAATATGTAGTACACTTAAGCATGCAAGTCATACAACTTGGTTAGAAATAGCTCCATGTTTATTTAGTGAAGGCTTTTAAAAATCTTATGATTTTATAAATAATATCTATCAAAAGCTTTCTTTTAAATACTTTTCTAACCAAAATTAAGGAGTATTTAAAAGGATGACCAAAATTAAAGCACTGAAGAAATGTATGCTTATGACTTAATGCCATGTTTGAAATTAATATCCTTTAATTGTGGAACTAATGTAACAGCTATAAAAAGTATTCCTTGGAAGGGCGCCTGGGTGGCAAAGTCAGCTGAGCCTCCGATTCATGGTTTTCTCTCAGGTTGCAATCTCAGGGTCATTAGATCAAGTCCCACGTCGGGCTCTGCGCTCGACATGGAGTCTGCTTGAGATTCTCTCTCCCTTTCCATCTGCCCCCGCCCCCCCGTACTCTCTCTAAAGTAAATAAATAAATCTTTTTAAAAAAAATATTCCTTAGAGTAAAAATCATTTTCAATTTATCCAATGTCAGGCTGGCTATTTAGGATTGGTTTTGGTTTCTAACTCGATAACTATTATGACGATCTCTTTGTGTTTCTTTTTCTTTCAGATCATTTTATCTTAGTGAAACTGGCAACTGAACTTTACTCTAGTTGATGGGCAAAATTTCTCCCAGGCTATTCATCACAATTTCATGCTAGTTGAAAATATTCAAATGCCATAAGAAATCTTTATAGATTTGCACTTAGCTTTTGGATGGACATTTCTACAATGGAGAGAACTGTGTTATAACCCTGGTCCAAGGACATTACCATCGAATGCCCATAAGACTACGGGGTGGGTGTGGAAGGTTCCAAAGAGAAGGAGCAATCAGCAAGTTTGCAGACACCCTGGAACATGGAAGTAAACAAGCTCTGAAAAGCACAGCTTTGAAGACACTCCATGAGTCTGCACGGCTTTCAAGTGAACTAGCACTTAAGACCTTGTAACAAAATGGACACCGGGGACACAGCTCTTGGACAAAAAGCTACCTCAAGGTCTGGAGAAACTGATAAGGCATCAGGTAGATGGAGACAGGAACAATCAGCTGTTATTAAGATGAGCACTTTTGGCAGCCAAGAAGGACAGCGGCAACCACAAATAGATCCTGAGCAAATTGGAGACACAGCATCAGCACAACTTTTTGGTTCTGGGAAACTGGCCTCACCTAGCGACGTGGCACAGCAAGTCACAGAGAAGCAATACCCACCGCACCATCCGAGTCCTTACTCATGCCAACATTCACTCTCTTTCCCTCAGCACTCATTGCCACAGGGGGTCATGCACAGCAACAAGCCACATCAGAGCCTCGAAGGCCCTCCGTGGCTTTTCCCTGGCCCTTTGCCATCTGTTGCCTCCGAGGACTTATTTTCTTTTCCTATACATGGCCACAGTGGTGGTTACCCTAGAAAAAAGATTTCAAGTCTGAACCCTACTTATAGCCAATACTCTCAGAAAAGTATCGAACAGTCGGAGGATGCTCACAAGAAAGAGCACAAACCCAAAAAGCCCGGCAAATACATTTGCCCTTACTGCAGCAGGGCATGTGCCAAACCAAGTGTACTGAAAAAACACATCAGGTCCCATACTGGTGAGCGGCCATATCCATGTATACCTTGTGGTTTCTCGTTCAAGACAAAGAGCAATTTGTACAAGCACAGGAAGTCACATGCCCATGCAATTAAGGCAGGATTAGTCCCTTTCACAGAGTCAGCTGTATCTAAATTGGACCTAGAGGCTGGTTTTATTGATGTAGAAGCAGAAATACATTCAGACGGTGAGCAGAGTACAGACACGGATGAGGAGAGCTCTTTGTTTGTTGAGGCTTCTGAGAAAATGAGTCCTGGCCCACCAATCCCGTTGGATCTTGCCAGCAGAGGTGGCTATCATGGGTCACTGGAAGAATCACTGGGAGGTCCAATGAAAGTGCCGATTTTGATTATCCCCAAAAGTGGGATTCCTTTACCTAATGAAAGCTCTCAGTATATAGGCTCTGATATGCTACCAAATCTTTCTCTAAATACTAAGCCTGATGATTCTCACACAGTGAAACAGAAACTTGCACTAAGACTGTCAGAGAAAAAAGGACAAGATTCTGAGCCATCTCTAAACCTTCTGAGCCCACACAGTAAAGGAAGCACTGACTCTGGTTACTTTTCTCGCTCAGAAAGTGCAGAGCAGCAGATAAGCCCTCCAAACACAAATGCAAAGTCTTATGAAGAAATCATCTTTGGAAAATACTGTCGGCTTAGTCCCAGAAATACACTCAGTGTTACAACGGCAAGCCAGGAGCGTGCCACAATGGGGAGGAAGGGCATGATGGAATCATTACCTCACGTAAACACCAGGTTAGATGTCAAGATGTTTGAAGATCCTGTTTCACAGCTGATCCCAAGCAAGGGAGAAATCGACCCCAGTCAAACAAGCATGCCGAAATCCACGAAATTCAACAGCGAATCTAGACAATCCCAGACTATCCCATCATCTATCAGGAATGAAGGAAAGCTGTTCCCTGCAAATTTCCAAGGCAGCAACCCAATTCTCTTAGAAGCTCCTGTGGACTCTTCACCCCTCATTAGAAGCAACTCGATGCCAACTTCTTCGGCAACTCATCTAAGTATTCCTCCCTCTTTGAGAGGAAGTCACTCATTTGATGAAAGGATGACTGGTTCCGATGATGTGTTCTATCCAGGGACTGTAGGAATACCCCCTCAGCGCATGTTAAGAAGACAGGCTGCATTTGAGCTGCCTTCAGTACAAGAGGGGCACATGGAGGCAGAACACCATGGCAGAACATCAAAGAGTATCACAGGCTTATCCTTGAAGGAAAAGAAATTGATTTCTGGGGATCGGATGGGGTATGACTATGATGTCTGCCGGAAACCCTATAAGAAGTGGGAAGACTCTGAGACATCAAAGCAAGGCTACAGGGACATTTCCTGCTTAAGCTCTTTAAAACATGGGGGTGAATATTTTATGGATCCCTCGGTGCCATTGCAGGGAGTGCCAACCATGTTTGGAACTACATGTGAAAATAGAAAACGCCGGAAAGAGAAGAGTGTAGGAGATGAGGAAGACACCCCCATGATTTGTAGCAGCATTGTGAGCACTCCCATGGGCATAATGACCTCAGATTATGACCCCAAGTTGCAGATGCAGGAAGGAGTAAGAGGGGGATTTGCCATGTCTGGACACGAGAACGCTTCTCATGGTCACTCTGAGCGCTTTGACCCCTGTCGACCCCAACTCCAATCTGGAAGCCCATCTCTTGGGTCCGAGGAATCACCCTTGGCCACTGATTCAGACAAGATGTCAGATCTAGGGGGCAGGAAGCCTCCTGGAAATGTGATTTCTGTTATTCAGCACACAAACTCGCTGAGCCGACCCAATTCATTTGAAAGGTCTGAGTCCTCCGAACTGGTGGCTAGCACACAAGATAAAGCCTCTTCGCCTTCCGAGACCTGTGACAGTGAGATTTCTGAAGCCCCGGTGAGTCCAGAGTGGGCTCCACCGGCAGACAGTGCCGAAAGTGGGGGGAAGCCCTCCCCTTCCCAGCAGGCTCAGCAGCAGTCCTACCACACACAGCCCAGGCTGGTCCGCCAGCACAACATTCAGGTTCCTGAGATTCGAGTGACCGAGGAGCCTGATAAACCAGAGAAGGAGAAAGACACCCAGAGTAAAGAACTGGAAAAGCCTGTGGAGGAATTTCAGTGGCCCCAGAGAAGCGAGACCCTTTCCCAGCTCCCAGCTGAGAAGTTGCCACCCAAAAAGAAGCGTTTGCGCCTTGCAGATATGGAGCACTCTTCAGGGGAATCCAGCTTCGAATCCACAGGAACTGGCCTCTCCCGCAGCCCCAGTCAGGAAAGCAACTTGTCCCATAGCTCCAGTTTTTCAATGTCTTTCGAAAGAGAAGAAACCATTAAGCTTGCCGCACCTCCTAAGCAAGATGAGTTTGGGAAGCATTCAGAGTTTTTGACTGTCCCTGCCGGTTCCTACTCATTGTCTGTCCCGGGTCACCACCACCAAAAGGAGATGCGGCGCTGCTCGTCCGAGCAGATGCCTTGTCCTCACCCAACTGAGGTTCCAGAAATCCGGAGCAAATCCTTTGATTATGGGAATCTGTCCCATGCTCCGATGGCAGGGGCATCGGCCGCCACATTATCTCCCTCGCGGGAGAGGAAGAAATGCTTTCTGGTGCGGCAGGCGTCCTTCAGCGGTTCTCCGGAGATTGCCCAGGGTGAGGCTGGGGCAGATCTGAGTGTGAAGCAGGAGCAGATGGAGCACCTGCACGCTGGCCTCAGGGCCACGTGGCACCACGTCCCCACCTCTGTGCTGCCTCCTCTCCAGGCGGAGGACCCCGGGAAGCAGGTTGTGGGGCCTTGTGGCCAGCTGAGCTCCGGGCCACTCCACTTGGCCCAACAACAGATCATGCACATGGACAGTCAGGAATCTCTGAGAAATCCCTTGATACAACCAACATCCTACATTGCAAGCAAGCACTTGTCTGAGCAGCCGCACTTATTTCCACATCAAGAGACTATTCCATTTTCTCCAATCCAGAATGCCTTGTTTCAGTTTCAATATCCTACCGTCTGTATGGTTCATTTACCAGCTCAGCAGCCTCCCTGGTGGCAGGCCCATTTCCCACATCCCCTTGTGCAGCACCCTCAAAAGAGCTATGGCAAGCCTTCTTTCCAGGCAGAAATCCATCCTAGCTATCCCTTAGAGCATGTTGCAGAGCACACTGGAAAGAAATCTGCTGATTATGTGCACACAAAAGAGCAGACTTACCCATGTTATTCAGGAACATCAGGGCTACACTCAAAGAACATTCTTCCAAAGTTTCCATCAGACCAGAGCACCAAGTCACCTGATACTCCCTCCGAGCAGGTTCTGCAAGAAGATTTTGCATCAGCAAATGCTGGGCCTTTACAGTCCTTACCAGGAACAGTGGTTCCTGTTAGGATCCAGACCCACGTCCCATCCTACGGGAGTGTCATGTACACAAGCATTTCTCAGATACTTGGGCAGAACAGTCCTGCAATTGTCATATGCAAAGTCGACGAGAATACTACCCAAAGAACACTGGTGACCAATGCGGCCATGCAAGGGATAGGATTCAACATTGCCCAGGTGTTGGGGCAGCATGCAGGCTTAGAAAAATACCCCATCTGGAAAGTACCTCAGACCTTGCCCCTCGGCTTGGAATCCTCAATCCCCTTATGTTTACCTTCCACCTCTGACAGCGTGGCCACCCTGGGAGGTAGCAAGCGTATGCTTTCTCCAGCCAGCAGCTTAGAACTCTTCATGGAAACAAAGCAGCAGAAAAGGGTCAAAGAAGAAAAGATGTATGGACAGATCGTCGAGGAACTCAGTGCTGTGGAGCTAACCAGCTCAGACATCAAGAAGGATATGACACGCCCACAGAAACCCCAACTGGTTCGACAAGGTTGTGCTTCTGAGCCAAAGGATGGCTTGCAGTCGGGGTCATCTTCCTTCTCCTCGCTGTCCCCTTCCTCATCTCAAGACCATCCATCTGCCAGCATGCCCTTGAGGGAGCCATTCCTGCCCAACTCCAGGGCACCCTCTCTAGGCCAGAAGTCCAGTGGGCCTTCTGAAAGCAGAGAGTCTTCAGATGAACTTGATATTGATGAGACAGCATCTGATATGAGCATGAGCCCACAGAGCTCCTCGTTGCCTCCAGGAGACAGTCAGCTTGAAGAGCAAGGAAAGGGCCAGAAGCTGCCTGTTGGCATGCTGGTGCACATGGCCTCTGGCCCAAGCAGGAAAATGGCAAACTCAACTCTTCTTTTCACGGATGTGGCCGATTTCCAGCAGATTCTTCAGTTCCCTAGTCTGCGGACAACAACTACTGTGAGTTGGTGCTTCTTGAATTATACAAAACCCAATTACGTGCAACAGGCCACCTTCAAATCCTCGGTTTATGCTTCATGGTGCATTAGTTCCTGTAACCCAAACCCATCAGGATTGAACACCAAGACCACTCTGGCTCTTTTGAGGTCCAAGCAAAAAATCACTGCAGAGATTTATACTCTGGCTGCTATGCACAGACCTGGAACTGGCAAGCTTACATCATCAAGTGCTTGGAAGCAGTTTGCTCAGGTAATGGATACCATTTCTAAAAGCACTGTAGTGTGGATTTGCTTGCTGAGCAGTATACATGGGGAAGGACATAAGGTCTGAAACGTACAAGTGAAATGAAGGTCAGAGTTGGGGGGATCCCTCCGTGACACTGATTTCCCTTCCCTAGTAAGAGAAGAAGCTGCTGACCATGCACTGGGTCCTGGGGAAGTCTCTCCTTCATCCAGGTGCCATGGAATTCTACCACTGAGACCAATTCCTTTGGGTTCTTCTCCTTTCTGGCCTGTGTTAATGCCTAGCAGATCCAGTTTTCTCTTGATATGAGGAATTCAGGGGATTGTGAAATTTGGATGCAGGACGTAGAACATTGTCAATATGGGAATGGACACTGAACGGAAAGATCCGGAAGGAGGTGTGCAGGTGTCAGAACTGAACTTCGCAAACTCCAGAGGGCGTGTTCCCATTGACAATACTTTATACCAAAATTTATTTTCTCTATTTCTCTCCCAAAACTCATTTTTTCGGGTGGTTATCTGATTTGTTCCTACATGAACAATATTTCGCACATAAAATTACAAAAATACTAATGGTGCACTTTGGAATTTTTGCTAAATTATTAATGAAACAAATAGAGGGTTTAAAAATCTATTTTACTTAATCCAGTTACCATTTCCCTTCAACAATTTTTGAAAATGTGTCCTTAATTGATAATTGTTTTCATTGCTACTTCAGAATATAGAACATGTTTTCTGTTTTTATTAGTGTTGCACAGAATAAGTGACAACAGGGCAGGATTATTTTTTAACAAAATGTTGGATAATTGCGGAAAAGCTATCATTCTTCTCTGATTTTATCCTTAGCATCCCTTATTTTATGTGAACGGGCTATGACCTTTTAGAATGGAATTTAGACTAATTTTCAGAGATCAGAGAAGGGTGGAATGTGTGGGTTTCTCCTATGTCTTAGAGAAACCATATGAAATGATTCTCTCTTTTGTCCTACAGATGAAACCTGATGCATCCTTTTTATTTGGCAGCAAACTAGAAAGAAAACTAGTTGGAAATATCTTAAAGGAAAGGGGGAAAGGAGATATTCATGGAGATAAAGATATTGGATCCAAACAAACAGAGCCAATCCGAATTAAGATCTTTGAAGGAGGGTAAGGAAACATACGTGCATGTGTGAAACATTCGGTTCTAAGTCAGAGCAAATGGTCACGATGTACACATGGCAAAAATAGTATCTACTCTGGTTGGAAGTATAAGGTGAATTCCTTCTCTATTCACATTTCTGAAGTCTGGCTGGTAATAGAAAATGAGTTCATGTCCTTGCTTTTAATGGCTTACTTTCAATGAAAATGTCCCTGTTACATAAGGTTTGAGCTTCTGCTTTAAATTTTCACACCCCTCATGCACTATGAAATCAACTAAATTGATAGACTCTTGATGTCATCTAAGCTTGTTCATTCTTTAATATTATTTTTATGGGCATTTTTTTTGGTATGTAATATTAATGGACATATTTTATTCTGTGTTTACAAAAATACAATCATGTACACTCATGTATAATCCTAGGAACTAGTTAATTTGATGGTTCATTTTATTGCTTTTATTATTACCTAAACTCCAGACTTTGTTGGGAATTCATGAGTTCCATCAGTGTCCTGTTTCTGTCCCAGGATCCAAGCCAGGGTACCACACTGCATTTAGTTATCATGTTTTCTTTGTCTCTTCCAGTTTGTGGCAGTCTCTCTGTCTTTGGAAATTTCTTTTTAAATGTTGAATCCTGAGTTGTAGAAACACAAGTGGTAAAGTCCAATGACTTTGATATCTGTAGAGTAAAGAAAAATTATACATGTGTGTAACATCCAGTTTTAGATTTCAATAGAAATATATTTTCAATCCAGTCAGCCACATGAGAGAAAAAGCTCCAACTTATGCTATTAAAATTTAAAAATATTAAAGCATATTAACCACATTTGGGGGATTATGTTGTAACTAGCCTTATTTCTACAGTAGATCTATAATTTACATGTTTCCATGAACATGAATTTATTCCAGTTACATTTGGGAGACAGAATAATGTTATCTATTTGATTATAAAATGTTGAATGTTTACTGATATGAAATATCTATTTCTCATGTAGATTCACCAGTTTGGCGATGAATTATTAAAGTTGTTTTCCTCTTAGTGTTGGCCCCTCTGGTTGTCTAGTATTTTCACCACTGAAACCACAGTTGCATGGAGTCTTAAAGCATGTCTTGATATTTTTTTGACATCCTTCATCTTTTAACACAAACGAGAGAAATACAGATTTTATCTTTCCTCAGAGACTGAGAGGTCCCTGTGACTGAATCAACACCCTTATATTCAGCAGTCTTCATAGCAGTGCACTTGTACTAGATTAGCAGAGACCTTCCCATTACATGTGCTTTGGGGAGCCCATCTCCACTAACAAAGGACACGAGTGAAAAAGCGTATGTGAATATTTTATTGCTGCGTTTTGATGATCCACAGGGACTGTGCCCATATATCATATCTCCCTCCTTTCATTGCCCTGTGGTATGGGCTACATCCCAATCATTTTTTAATCTGTGACCCGACTTTTGCCTGGGGGTGACCAGGTGTTCATTCCAAGCAGTGTGCTACCACCTCTTACTTTGGAGATTGCAAAGGGATAACTTTAAAAAAGAAGTATTACTGACCACATTTTTAAATGGATGTGTTCTTTATATTATGCAATTCCTAGGTTTAGTAATTTTTTTAAATTAATTTTATTTTATTATGTTAGTCACCATACATTACATCATTAGTTTTTAATGTAGTGTTCCATGATTCATTGTTTGCGTGTAATACCCAGTGCTCGATGCAATACATGTAGGTTTAGTAATTTAATTAAACTTATCTTTTATTTTTTTTCAAAATCCATTAATCCTTGTATTAAGTAGATTCATGGGTCTGCAGACCTGTTGAAGGGTAAATATTTTATTTGCACAGATTTTTCTAATATGCAGCTTTATTTTATACTGAATTTTACTATTTGCAAGTTAATCAGGTAAGACATTAAAAATAAAATTATGTTACTTGAAGATAAAATGCATTTCCCATCAACTGTGATGATGGGCTACACTAAGTTTAAGGTGTCCTTCTGTGATGAAAACTAGCTTTCTAGAAAATTATTTGTTTTATTCTATATTTCTTAGGTAATTTTATCTATTTAGAGGCAGGGAAGAGTGAAATTAAAAGGTGAAAGATATTTTGCAACTTGAAGTTCTTTCGTTACAAAAGACAATGTGAAATAAAACATGAAGTTTAAGAAAGTTTTAAAGAACAAGTTGAAGTTGGAAATTCCTTGTGAAAGGGGAAAGATTTAAAGGATGAAAAAACACACAAAATTGACTATTCAGTATTTTTGATACTACTTAATTCCCACCTGGAATTTTTGGTACTGACCAAAATGTAAATAATGTTAAGATTGAATAGCAAACATAACAGAGTTAGTATTTAAATATGTGAATGGATTTTCTCTCTTAAAAAAATCCTTCAGTGGTTTGGACGAATGAAGTTGAACTTTTATTCCTGATGACAGATTAGCTAGGACAAAATAGAGAAGTGTGCAATGCTCTTAGAATGTAAAAAACCAAAAACCAAAACAAACAAAAAAACCTGTGAATCTAGTGCCTTTAAAGTAAATCCACAGTGAATTAAGGCATTTTATATGTCAGCTTACATTTTGAAGTTATAAAAAGAGCCCCTCAAAAGGAGTATTTTTCCAAGAATGACATTAGACCCATAATTCTAGACCAGCTTTGATTTAAAAGATAATGATATTCATTGAATTATTCAATAAAATGCTACTGTACTCTATGATTGATCTTGTTTCATTGTAATCTAAACAAAATGTGATGGTTGAGCACTGGATAGGTTTCTTTCATGAATCATCACAGTGAATACCTAAGACTTGGTTAGCTGATTTGATTAAACTAGATGACCTCAGACATCCTTTCAAGCCTCTTTATTAAATTCTTCTGGAAACAAATGCAAATATGATTGAAAAATAGAATCTCTAGTTTTTATTATGTAACAGTACTTACCAGAAGCTACTTGAAATTTGGACTCCACTTTAGTGCAAATTCATGGTCCTTGGGAAGAGCGGATCAAATCTGTAGACAACAGTTGGTGAGCTCAGCTCAGCCTGTGTAAGCTAGAAATTTCGGAGACACTCTCATGCCAGGATTATAAAAATAGAGTAAAAACTTGCAATGAAGAATTCTATTATCAGTTATACTTATTTTAGCAAATTTAGAGAGATGTGTGTGTGTTCTGCATGCACATCTTAGACGATGTAATGTTAACGAATGATATATGTTGATTTGAATATGTTGGTATAACTTTTTGGATATTTCTTGTGTGGAGACTGTACTAGAATCCAAAAGTAGTAAAGCACAACTCTGTAACTCTCTGAGCCTACTTGGAAGCCCATTTGAACATCTATAGCCCAAGTCCCTATATCTACACTTAATAGAGGGACCCAATTCCATTTTGAAGACCATATAGAAAAATTACATTTTGCTTTCAATGCCAAATCTATTCTGTAGTTCGTTCAGGCATTTATTGCATAAATTTCATAGAAGTAAAGTTGAATAATTGTTTGTGAAAGACCCTCATAAAAATTTTGCCACTCAGGGGCGCCTGGGTGGCTCAGTCGTTAAGCGTCTGCCTTCGGCTCAGGTCATGGTCCCGGGGTCCTGGGATCGAGCCCCGCATCAGGCTCCCTGCTCCGCGGGAGGCCTGCTTCTCCCTTTCCCACTCCCACTCCCCCTGCTTGTGTTACCTCTATGCCTGTCTCTCTCTGTCAAATAAATAAAATCTTTAAAAAAAAAAAAATTTTGCCACTCAAAAATTTACCCCTCAAAAGATCAGCTTCTGGTTTGATAGATAAAACACTAAAGTATTTGAAAACACACTGCATTCCCTTTTTCTAAACAGGTATAAGTCAAATGAAGATTATGTATATGTCAGAGGACGTGGACGCGGAAAGTACATTTGTGAAGAATGTGGGATTCGCTGTAAGAAGCCAAGCATGCTCAAAAAGCATATCCGCACTCACACTGATGTCCGGCCTTACGTGTGCAAGTTATGTAACTTTGCCTTCAAAACGAAAGGTACAATTCTCATCTTTTTAGAGGAAAAATACCTTTTTTTATGGCGACCTTGGATTCTGAATACCATTTTATAACTAACTTGCATTGACAATAAGATGGTTTTGTTTTTGAAATGTATTTTCTCCCTTATGTAAGTAATCAAAGGATGTACATGAGACAGAAAGGCTCCTTTTATGACTTAAGTAAGAGCTATAGACTTGGGGCCACGCTAGTTGTTTCCGAAGGAAGTGGCTAAGAATTGCCTGGATTGCTATTGCTATTACTGCACGTTGGAAATGTTGTGTGGTCTAGATAATTTTTGCACCAGTATTGAAATACCACCGGGAGACAATCCATGCAGTGGATTAGAAAAGCAAGGCAGCAGCTGGGAAGAAAACATGTGCCCATGGTCAGTTTCAAGATTATAAATAATGTAGAGACCCACAGACTCCCAGGTGGGCCCCTCCATCCACAGTTGCATTAATTATGCATAGAAATTTGATAGCTTGTGTTCCGTGTATTTATCAGCACAGAGACAATTTCTTAACTCTCAGGCCACAACTGTGAATCTCATAAAACTAGGACCTGCCTTAGAATGATATTCTACCTCTAAAAAAATATCTGTTTCTTACAGGTAGATTTCTATGAAAATATTTTATGCAAGAAGGTTGCTTTGATTATATTACCATCATTTTATAAAATCATGGAAATGTGCATAAGCCCAGTGTTCTCAGATTACAGACAACAGTGACTTAGAGGTGGTTTGAGTTTTGTAGAAGTATGTTCACTGCTTGCTGTAGATGTACTTTAGATCTAATGGATTTTGGCCCCCTCACTAACCTCATATGATTTCCTATGTTTTAACTTTAAATTGGCAGGCTCATTATTCTGCGCCACTATCTGTCAAGAAAAATAAATATCAGATAAGATAATCTTTGGTAGAGAAATGTGTACCTATTTTCTTCCATAGCCAATATCCTAAATTGTCTTACTGTTTTGTCAGAAGTATAAATGTGTAGACTCTCAACATATCTGTTTCTTCTGTATTAAAAAGGTTTTACAGAGATGTCTCCTTTGAAGCCCACATAAAGGAGGGAGTATTCATTTGCATTTCAAAAGAGATAAACATAAGGTCCTTTAAATACCATCCACCTTTGCACAGTCAAGCCTTTTATTTAGAACCTCACCAAGAGACTCCCTAGGATATAAGAAAATATAAACTTTGGTTTTATAAACTGCAGATCTGCCAGGCATTACAACTGATAGATCTTCCCTGGGCATAGGGGTTTGCCTCGGGTATAGCTGTGTGAAACACTCGGTGAAGAAATGTCACATTTCTAGGCTTTTTAAAATCAAATAAAAAATAATAACAATCAAAACAATGATGACCTAGTTTCTATAACCTTAAAGAAATCAAATTAAATTTGGCTCCAAATCATTGTCATAGAATTTCAGCAGGAAATAATTTATTCTTGGTCATTATTGGCATTTCCTTGTCACCCTTCAGGAATGTGCAAATGTCTCGGAATCTTAAAATGAGCACAATATCCTGGGAAACCCCTCCAGTTTTCGGTAGAAGTGACTGTTGTCCCAAACCATGTCATCTGAGTGCAGATGCCGAGCGCACTTGTGGGAGAAGCACCTCCTGCATGCCCAGGTGCCTCTCCTTCAGGCACCCTCCCCCCTCCCTTACCTCCCCGCTCCCCTACCTGCCCCCACGACCACTCCTCCCCCCGTCCCCCTTGCTGGAATCCCTTCAGAAGCTCAGGACTGCAGTCAACCAAAGCCAGGGTGGAGTTATTTCAGAGCCAGATTTCTAACTACAAACGTGCCCTGAAGATGAGAGCCCAAAGCCTGCCTGCCTGTTGAAATGGAGAAAAAAGAGAAAGGACAATAAATAGAGGAGGAGAAACATATCAAGATCTAAATAATCTTGACACCTACACACAAACCCATCCACATACACAGATTACTTGCACCCATGCAGAAGCTGGTGACTTCCATTAATATACAAATGTATTAATTAGTTTACAGATTTAGGAATTCTTGATGATCTGGCTCTAAAAATTTTTGAGATCTTTAAAACATTTTTAGATAAATAAGAGCAATAGGGGCCTGGAAATATATTTATGCTTGGAGTTACCAAAATAGCACATAAAATTCATAGGTATAAGAGCAATAAGTAAAATGCTAAGTAAATAAAATAATATAAAATAATAAACAGCAGTGTGCTGGTTTAGAACTGTGGCTCATATATTACATTAATGGTAAGTTAAATACCCCTACAGGGCGCCTGGGTGGCTCAGTTGGTTAAGTGACTGCCTTCGGCTCAGGTCATGATCCTGGAGTCCCTGGATCGAGTCCCGCATCGGGCTCCCTGCTTGGCAGTGAGTCTGCTTCTCCCTCTGACCCTCCCCCCTCTCATGTGCTCTCTCTCATTCTCTCTCAAATAAATAAATAAAATCTTTAAAAAAAAAAAAAAAGCTAAATACCCCTACAAAGGAACAAACTCTTTTCGCAGGCTAAGCGTGTCCATCTACGTTCAGTGAGCCTACTCTTAAAAATAAAGCATTTGCTGGTACATTGCTAAAGCATCGTTGGAGGGCGCAGATAATAATATGACCCTTACAACTGAATTAGTTCCTGGATGTCTTTTGATAAGTTATATATATGACATGGAATTTTATATACATATAGTTATGCAATATTCTATATTATATATATTTATGCATATATATAAAATTTCATAGATCCTAGGTCAAAGGTGATTAGATAAGTGTTTTCATAATTTTTCACATTCTATATAACAACTATAAATCTACATAAACACACACATATGTATTTATACATATAATCTATACATATCATCATCATAATACATATTTGAGAGAAAACCTTTCTTTTTTCTTAGAATGATGGGATTTTCAAGATAAATAGATAGGGAATATTGCAGAACTTTAGAAACTGCTGTCATAAAGTTTGCTAACATATACCAGACAGATAGATTGTAAACACTGAGAATAGTGCTCCTTATAAGTAGTTAGCTAAGTATTTGTATGGATCTTTGAATTTATTTACAAGGTTGGCCTTCCCATAAGTTTGCATAATTTTTTTCTTCTGACCAGTGAGGAGCCTGGGAAGGCAATCTAAATCTGATCAGTGCCAGAAGGTCTGGGGTCTAGGGTGTGTTGATGAGAATGTTTGATCTGAACTTTCTCTGAGATGTATGACCCAGCTTATGTCACCCTGTTTATATCAAGGCCTAGGAGGCTGGCCCATTTGGGCCAAAGATACTAGATCTCTTCTCAGCCAGGAGAGCCTGGGATTCTCAGTCTTGCTTGGAACCTACTCTTGAAAAGGTATGACCCGATTCTACAAAGTCTTCTAGAATGAAGGAAACTTGAGTTTGGGCCAAAGTTGTGAGCGGTTGATGTATTCAGGAACCAGATTGTTCCCATTAAGTTCAAGGCAAAGGATAGGGGGTAGAAACAAATCTATGTTATCTCAAGTTAGTTCATTTCTAATTTTGGAGCACTCATCACATTTCTGTAATCAATTAATTTATCCATTTTTTTTGCCTGTGTTTTCTAGGAAACCTAACAAAGCATATGAAATCTAAAGCACACATGAAGAAATGCTTGGAGTTGGGAGTTTCAATGACATCAGTGGATGATACGGAAACCGAAGAAGCAGGTATTACAAAATTTAGTTGACTGACCTCTTTATTCTTCACACTGGAGCTTTGTGGCCAGGGTGGCAAAACAAGTTTTGATATTTTAAAAAACTGATCACATTTCATTTTACTAAATATGAAATATAGAAAAGAAATCTGACATGTTGAATTGCTTACAACCTACTGAGAAGAAATAAATGCATTTCAGTTCTGACTGAAGGGGAAAAAAGGCCTCACTATGAAAATACTTCTATCTAGAACCGTAAAGGATCTAACTATACTTGTGTTGTGACAGGGATTTAGATTTTATGAAACTTCTGGGGAAATTTGAAAAACAATTTAATGTGTTATTATTCCTATTAAGAGAGAAAAAAATCCGTCATTAACCTGAATAGAAAACCTGAGGGCCAGTCAGACTTCCTGAGATATATCACTTATATGTAAGTTTATACCTATAAGGACAGATTGTTGCTTTCCTTTTCTTCTAGCCTCTTTATTAACAGCATTATCCATACCCATTTGTTGAGGGTTTTCTATGGGCCATGTGACATTTGAGATATAAAGTCCTACTCTAGAGTCCTTCTGTTGGGTCGGGATGAATCAGATTAGTCATAAAAGGTTAAGAACCAGCATAAGGTCTCCCAGGTGAGTGCCCAGTGAGTGTTATAGGGGTTCAGAAATGGAACTATCTCCAGGGTCTACAGGGTTAGAGGGAAGCTTTTGGAAAGAGATGGCATCCAAATTAGCTCCTAACCTTGAAGTTTAGACCTTGATCTTCACTATCTGTTCAATTGTTTCAGAAACGATGGAAGATTTGCACAAAGCAGCTGAGAAGCATAGCATGTCCAGCATTTCAACTGATCATCAGTTCTCAGATGCCGAAGAATCGGATGGTGAGGACGGAGATGATAATGATGACGATGATGAAGATGATGATGACTTTGATGATCAGGGAGATCTGACACCAAAAACAAGATCGAGAAGCACTAGTCCTCAGCCTCCTAGATTCTCATCCTTGCCTGTGAATGTTGGCGCCGTGACCCATGGGGTTCCTTCAGATAGTTCCCTGGGGCATTCTTCATTGATCAGCTATTTGGTTACTTTGCCAAGTATTCAGGTTACTCAGCTGATGACACCAAGTGACTCATGTGAAGATACTCAGATGACAGAATACCAGAGGTTATTCCAGAGCAAAAGTACAGACTCGGAACCGGACAAAGACAGGTTAGACATACCAAGTTGTGTGGATGAAGAGTACATGCTGTCTTCGGAGCCCAGCTCCTCTCCGAGGGACTTCTCACCCTCAAGCCACCATTCCTCACCAGGATATGACTCTTCACCCCGTCGAGATAATTCACCAAGGAGGTATCTGATACCCAAAGGAGATTTATCACCCAGAAGACATTTATCACCTAGGAGAGATCTGTCACCCATGAGACATCTTTCACCAAGAAAGGAAGCTGCATTGAGAAGAGAGATGTCACAAAGAGATGTTTCACCAAGAAGGCATCTGTCCCCAAGGAGGCCAGTGTCACCTGGGAAAGATATCACGGCAAGAAGAGACCTCTCTCCCAGAAGAGAGAGAAGATACATGACCACCATAAGAGCACCATCTCCTAGAAGGGCTTTATACCATAACCCACCATTGTCCATGGGGCAGTATTTGCAAGCAGAACCAATTGTACTGGGGCCTCCTGTAAGTATGATTAGCTTTCCCTTTCTAATGTATAAACCAAAGCATATCGGAGCCTCTTGATAACACTGGTGTGAAGTTTGTTCTAACATGGGTGTCTCTCATGGGGAGCAGTGAGCTTGGTTACTGAAAATAGCAGCAAGACGCTTCCTCGCGGGCTGTTGTTAGTAACATGGCTGTGGCATTAGCCCAAGTGTAGTACTGCATCAGAGCAGTAGCACATTGCCAGCTGGGAACAGGTGAGGCTTTGCTGCTTGCTCTCTAAGCTTCACTGATTATGGACGTGAGCTGAAACCTTCACGTGAGCAGGAAAGGCGAGGTCTTTGGAATGACGTGACTGCCTAGACAGACACCCTCAGGGGCCATTGGGGTTCAGTTATAGAACTTTGCCAAGTCAGGATCAGGCATTAGCATTGACTCTCAATACATTTTTTTAAAACATAAACTCATGATCTTGCCCACAGTGAGTGGACATGTGAAACCAGTGAGTCACTAGGAGAGAGTGACCCCCTTGGTATGTTGTGAGTCAAAGGCATGAACCTCTCTGCTTTTCTTGTCACTGCTCAGTGAGATGGTGGGCCCAAAGTTGGGAGAGCTCAGGGAGAAAGTGTCAGAGATTTCTACGGTGTGCCCTCATTATAAACTTAGATAACAACAGCAACAGTCATGGATTAAGTTTTATGAATTGGCATTAAGTTAATGCCAATTCATAAAAAACATCTGCCATGCCTCATTCCATGGGATGGCAGACCTTGATGTTTCTTTCGGTGTGTGTAGGATTTTTAAAAATGAATGAAGCAGACACTTAGCATAGACAGATGAATGACACCTTTTGAGTTTCTTTGCTTTATATGTGTTTTTGTTTCCTGGTCTCTACTTTTTGGTGTTCTTTCTTTGTGCCGGGTTTCTGTTGTGTGGCTCAATACCGTCCTTCCAGCCAAAGGCGCTACCCACTTCCAGCTCTGTCTTATCACTGCCCTGGTGACCAGGCTCCTTCCTCTCATTGCCTTTTCACTACTTTGAGTCATGAGCTTAGGTTACCATTTTTAAACTTCAGGAAAACTCCCTGCTGCAATTCACTCCCTGACCCCCCAGCATCGCCTTTTCACAAGTTGGTACCAATTTAGTCTCTCTGCTACAATTACTGCAGCAACATGCACACAATCAGGACATGATTTATTTGCAAGATAATGAATTAGCAAGCTAAGAAAAAGAGGTACATTCCCACAGGTTTTTGTGTCTTGGTGGTGTTAAGTAGAAAAGAGAGATCTTCTGAAGTCTATGCCACTACAGCATAAGTAGAGAGTTGTAGACCCGCAAATCCCTCTGATGCCAGGATACCACATCTGGGGTATCAGAAGCTTTCTCTGGTATAAACCAGTGATGCTGGTGGAGCATGTGTGGTGAGACTGTCCTGTTCTGGCCCTGGCCAGGTGGACTGAGACTGGCGTATTTGTGAGATGTTGGGACATCTTCAGTCAACTGCAGTCACGAAAGTACAAGCTTTTAGTGCCAATATGCTATTGTTATTAAAAACTAATAGTTGGGGCGCCTGGGTGGCTCAGTTGGTTAAGTGACTGCCTTCGGCTCAGGTCATGATCCTGGAGTCCCTGGATCGAGTCCCGCATTGGGCTCCCTGCTCGGCGAGGAGCCTGCTTCTCCCTCTAACCCTCCCCCCTCTCATGTACTCTCTCTCTCTCTCATTCTTGCTCTCTCAAATAAATAAATAAATCTTAAAAAAAAAAAAAAACTAATAACAACTCACAATCAACTCAGGCAAAAGAATTGAAGAAGTGGACTAACGAAGTTCATCTAATTTTTGGATATGTGACCAGAAAATTGTTGGAAGGAAATTGGTTTTCTTAGCCGCTGAGTTTGCAACCAGTTGGTTTTTTTATACCAGTTCACCTGGATACTTAATACAATGATTAAACTTTACCATTGATGAAGGCCAACTGTAGAACCATTGGTCTATTACCCAGTTTAATTATCTCTCTAGAGAATTTATAGCCAGCTGCTTCGTTCATGTGATAAGAGGGAATAGATCTGGGAATGCTCCCTGAAGAAGGGGCAGTTGGTGCAAAGTACTTCCCATTTAATGTTTTATCACATCATTTTTGAGTGGCAGAGGAGGAGTTTATCTTTCTGTGATGTGTGAAGACGATTTTTATTGCCAGGGTAAAACAGAATTGATGATACTATGAGAAGTATTTCTCCTGATTGCTATATTGGATGAGTGCTGCACCCTCTCTGAATAATGTATGAAAGTATTAAATTAGAATAACCCTAAAAATAAACCTTTTTGATGGAAATTCTTTAAGCAATACCTTGTCTTGTTGCTTAACATGGGCCAAGAGCTCACAGGTCAGTGACTGTGGCATGAAAGGATCTTCTAGGCTAGCAGGACACACTCATCCTCTGGTTCAGTCTGGAGTGGTAGTATCCAGGGAGCAGGTTTGGAAGAGATGATAGTCAACCACTGGGATCCTACTACTCTGCTGTTTCTGCCCTAATGCCCTCTGGTTAATTTTAATATAGACAGATGATAGATAGATAGATGATAGATAGATAGAAGGAAGGAAAGAAGGAAAGAAGGAAAGGGGGAGAGGTCTTTCGCTTATCAGTATTTTTTGAGGGTCTCATATGTGTGTCTCAAGGATGATGATTAAAAAATGTTATGGTTTCTGGCCTCAACTTTTTTAAACAAAAAACTTCCCTATTCCATTTTTAAAGTTTTGGTAGATAAATTAGCAAAGGAGACAAAGAAAAATGTGTCTTGGTTTCCAGTATGTAGTGCAAAGAACATCGTGTCTAGTGAAAGAGTCAACATTCAGTTCTTTTTTGTTTTATGTTATGTTAATCGCCATACATTACATCATTAGTTTTTGATGTAGTGTTCCATGATTCATTGTTTGCGTATAACACCCAGTGCTCCATGCAGTATGTGCCCTCCTTAAT